TGCTGTGACACTCATATTTAACTCACATGCTGTCCATTTCTTCTGATACTCCTTCATTGGAGTCCAGCTGTGTTTAATTAAACTGATTAAACTGAGTTATTAGGTTTAGGGGGCAATCACTTTTTCACACAGGGCCATGTAGGTTTGGATTTTTTTTTCCCCTTTTATAATAAAAACCTTCATTTAAAAACTGCATTTTGTGTTGTGTTATCTTTGTCTAATATTTAAATTCGTTTGATGATCTGAAACATTTAAATGTGACAAACATGCAAAAAAATAAGAAAATAGGAAGGGGGCAAACACTTTTTCACAACTGTATGTAAAAAAGAATATCTGATTACCAAAATTGAAAACGTAATACCTTTCACAAAGAGTATTTAAATAATAAAATATTCAGGTCCAGCCGTAGTGAAAGACTAAAGCTTAACCCTTCCATCAGCATGCAATCAACGGGCAGATCCAGACCACTTTTCCCTCACTAATACAAATATGTGTGTCTTTCAGGTGTAGCTGTTAGTGTCCTGAGGAAATGCCGCTGAGGTTACGCTCTGTTGTGCCCTACACACTGCCTGGAGTCCTTGCACTGATCGGCTGGTGGTGGTACATCTCGCGGAAGAAAGAGCGGCTCATCAGCCATGACAGCCCAGACGGGGCTCCAACAGCTCCGGGTCTTAGAGCATCTCCAGCAGAGGGTAGCAACGGTTTGGTTGAGAAAGGCACTGTATCCCCCACAAATGACACAGAAAGCCCCACCCACAGACCCCCAAAGGTCAGTAACCTGAGAACAGAACATGAGAATATTTCCCAAATCCATGGCACTGAAGCAGCACCTTCAATGAAACCCAATTCTGAAGAAGCTGCCCCTCAGCTTGACAGAATAAAACAAGAGGAAGTCCATAAACCCTCAGTCTCGATTCTGCTATCACCTGGCAAAGAAGACAGTCTGCAGGTGTCATTGACAGACCACACAGACCCAGAGAAAAGCTCAACGCCTGTCTTGGTAAAAGAACTGGAGAAGCACCTAGTCAAAGATCCAGCCTGTGCTCCAGAAGCCACAGTAGAAGAGGTCATCTTGCCTACCCAAGTCACCAGCTCCTCCCCCACAACAACACACCTTTCTGATGCAGAGAGGCCGGAGCCAGAAGGGGAAGTTGCAAAGCACTACAGCACTGTTAATATGCAAGATGAGCTGGTTGTTTGTTCAGCCACCCCAGCCAAAGTGCAGAGAGTGATCCCATCAGAGGGAGACTCTCTAGAGACACCCCCTTCAGCGCGGGAGTTCCACCAACACATTCTAACCAGCACACCTACCTCCCTGACCCCGACCTCCACAGCCCTGACAACGGTCCAAGATATCACCACCATATCAGAGACCCAAGAGGACATCCAGGTACACAGCAGCCATGGAGAGGAGCAGGATCTGGAACGATTAGCGGCTGGACTCATAACTGAGGTCATCTCAGCAGCTACCCTGGAGATCCTTGGTGTCACCAGCTGCCAAGTCACACAGCCCAGCTGCAGTAATAGAACACCACTGGCTAGCGGCAGACTGTACTCCCAACAGGAGCCAATCGCAGCAGCACAGCAGCACCACCATCTACTGACTAGCCCCTCTCAGATAGGCAATGAGTCTAGAGAGGCCAGAGAGACGGGAGAGCAAGGGATGCCGAACGGATGCTCCTCGGCTCCAGTATGGGAGCCGATTGAGGTCAGTCACAGGGCTCATCAGACAAACCATGCACAGAGAGACGATTGGCTAACACCCTCACATCAAGCAGCACAAAGTAACGTTTTGCTAAACATGAAACTGAAAGGTGATGAAGCAGCAGTGCTGGCCGACGACTCGGCCTGCAGCACATGCCACTCTGAGGATGGCATCAGCAATGAGGACCTCCAGAACAGCATGTTCAAAAACCAAATTGATGTGATCCAGGTTACAGACTTGTCAGAAAAAGAAGCCACACAGCCTCAATCTCTGGAGACTGCCACGGAGGCAACTGAAGAAAACTCCCTGGTGGCTGTGTGCGAGATGAGAAAGAGACTCAATGGAATGGGCCTCAGGAATGGAGCTCACGGGACATGCGAGTTGGAGACGGACCAGTCTGGAGGTGAGACATCAATCTGTTCATTCTCTGTATTGGTGTTGCAGAGTACAGCCATACTGATACTGCATTTACTTAGGCCGATACTGCTATTAGAGCGTTTTATAAATCGGACATTGACATATCGCCCAATTGTTTAGGCCTCAAATGGGCCCCCCTGCTAAATTGTTGAAGATCGTAGTATTGATACGCCCAGACGTTACTGGTGCTTTTTATTATGTTTTGATGTAATTTATTATCAAGCTGCAGCGCACATCTGCTCTGCTCTGTCGGGCTGAGCTCCTCCAACTACACACACACAGACACAAACACACACAGACTCGTATACATAAACACACACACCGACACGCATCCATAGACACACACAAACGCATAGACATTCACACAGACACAAACGCAGACTGATACACACACACACACAGACATTCACATAGGGCTGGGTGGTATGACCAAAAATGCATATCACGGTATTTTGTAAGATTCTGGCGGTTTCACGGTATATCACGGTATTTTTTTTTTTCCGCGTTAAAGCATTAACTAATTAACGCCGAAAAGAACCGGCCAGCCAACCGGCCAGCGAGCACTGAACAGCTGTTTGTGTGGTGTGTCTTCCGTTCCATCACTTCCTGTTTCCTTCACCTACATTCCCCTGGGTCCTAAGCCCCTCCAAATACAGCTTCTTATCACCCTCTATGTACCAATGTACATTTATAACAAATACCACACATATTACGGTAATCAGCATTGCATATGTGTCTGACCTAAATACCTTTTGTTGTTCAGTCTTTGTTCATCCTGCATTGCTCTTTTCTGTTCTTTAATGTAACGTTACTGGAGCGACAGAGCCTCTCCCAGCTGTTAGCAGACTGTTGTTAGCGAGATGTACCCAGCATGCAGTTCGGCGGGGAAATTTTATAAATGTACAATTATTAGTGTTACAAATTGTTTGTGTCACAAACTGTTGTGTCATGGTGTTTTGCTCTGTTAAAGAGCATTAGTTGTGGGTTGTTAATTGTTGTTATAAAGTTATAACCATGACTAGGGTTCCCTCTCGATACACTTAAGACAACTAGCTCCGACTGTAGCGCTCTCAGCCGCGAGCAATATATTTTGCTGCCCGTAGAAGAGCGACAGAAGTTGTTTCGGCTGCATGTATGACAGGTATATGAAAAATTCATATCATACGGGAAATTAAAACCGGTATACCGCCCAGCCCTACATTCACACACACACACACACACACACACAGACACAAACATACAGACACAAACGTACACGTAGACACTCTCACTCACATTCAGACACACAGACGTTCAGACGCACAGACGTTCAGACGCACAGACGTTCAGAC